AAAACGACTAGTCAAGTATCGCCCGAAACTTCGGCAGTGGTTCAAGAAAAAATAAATATACAAAGCTATGCAGTATGAAACTCGAAGACGATGGGTTTCGAATCAGCTATCATCAGCGCCCTTCTGGCACACCTGATTATTGAAATGATTCTATACAGCATTTTTGTAATGTATTGCATTAGCAGGGATGTTCAAACCGAGATTGGTTCAGAAAAAGCAAAATTCGGCAGCAGCATTTGTAGTTAGACCTGTCTGGCGTTAAGCTGTCGAATCGCCCAATTGTTTCACTGCCAGAAGAGTTCCAACAAAATCAGCTCAATGTACAGATGACTGCGAAATATACGTTTTTTATGATCATTATTAGGTTCTTGCATCAGCTGCTCATTTTCATTACCATTCATTCATTCATCACCTGGATAGTTATGAGAAAACAGAAGTCATAAAAGTAATCATTGTCGAAAGCCTCAACGCGTCGGCAAGCCTTCGACATTTTTTTGTTAAGGCAGATTTTCGGCTAATCACTCCTAACTTTCCATACTAGTAATATCTCGGTAGCCTGCTGCATTGAGAGTTTATTTTCTAGACTCGTTTTCTCGAATCAAAGATTTTGTGTACGCACAATCAATTCTGAAGTAGCATGGCAATCGTCATCCAGTACTGAAGCATAGAAAATTTATATCTGCAAGCCGGATTGGCTTTGGTATACTGTACCTGGACTGTTTAAATCGATTTTGTCTAATCAACGACGCCATTCAATGTGTGGCACTACCGCAGCCGATGTTCTGCTGGTAATAATTAATATTCAGAACTATTTTCACATGCCAATCATTCTCGCCTGTATGTGGTGCTGTCACACCAGACCCACCGCTCGCGGCCAGTTGTCAGGTAGTGCGCCAAAGGCCCCCTTGGGTAGAACACTGCGAATGAAAGCTCGCCCTAGTCGCTACAGTATTTACTGCACCTTTTACTTCTAGCAATTAATCTCTAGGATTATGCGCTGGTCAAAAAAATCTACCAGATTAACTACCAGGCTATGAGACTTAAAGCCATGGCTGTTTTCATCCAACATATGACCCGCTAATCGCTCTACGATTGTACTAATTAAATAATTCATTATGTGACCTGAATATATAGTTGGAACGGAGCATGAACTTGAATAGCATATTTCAGTAATTTCTTTAAATATCTAGCTGTGAAAGTCTTGCGGTGTTCATAAGCTATTGTTTTAAGTAATTTTGCAACATCGTTGCAGTACCACACTTTAAAACACTTTAGACGTGCTACCGGAATCGAATCTTTGGTCACCAAATATTCATAACAGATAAGAACAATAGGCAAGTCACTTCAGCCCCCGGAAACAAGAGTTCGGCAATATTCAGCTATATTAAGTGAATTCGTAGCGGTGACGGTTCAGGCTTCCACAATATGTGACTTATACATATCGCATATTTGAATAACAGCGACAGACCTGAGTCGGGCAACTCCGCCATTTGCTTTTGGCTTCAATAAGAACGTTCTTCTAACGTTTGAATCTTTATATTATAAGACACCCTCCTTGTAATCGCACATATGAATAAATATGCGCTTAATTAATATTACTGAACTATTACCATTAATGAAGTGTGGTGCCCATTGAAAGCAGGAAATATTGTCCTTATGGATCCGGCCTGTAATTTCCAATTCAAGTCAGAAGTCAAGGCTGCCTATCCTGTCCCTGTGCTCTTCTATCGATTCCAGCTTAAGCCTACGATCGATTAGTTGTTGTAGACACCGGATGGACTTTTCTGATGACTCACAAATCCTATGCTGATTGCGTGCTTCTGACTGTCAACCGCTCGTGAGTTCCTCTTCGATAACGAACATAGAATGGCCACAGTGGAAAACTTAGACAATCGTCATTGCATCCCGTGTGACAGACAACCCTGATGATTCAGTGACACACTACAACTCAACTTTATTAACCATGTAGGTGCTGTTCATGCTGTTACGGCTGCCATCAAAGATTCAAGAAACTACTGTCTTGTTGACATAATTACTTTAATTACACTAAAGCCGTGTTTAATACCTCAGTAGTCGTTTGACTACTCCAAAATTTATGAATAGCGATCGATTTTCCCCATCCATACGACGTTTTTGTACCATTTAATTATCTTCTTTAGTTACTTAATGGGCACCTATTTTGTCAGCAAGAAAAATTCAATTTTCGTTGGGAACTGACGAGGCTTTTAGTGAGAGTTTTACGCGACAGGTGTTCTCTGCGCTTATACATCGACAGGCATTCGACTGATCAATCTGCATGGAATCACACGTTAGAAGACATAAAAATTAGGAATATTGTTCAAAAATGCGTAACGGTGTGTGTAAGGTGAAATCACGAACCTTTTACGAGGTTGCTATAGTTATGACTGTCACCATCACTGGTGTAGTCCTTCCATTGGTTTCTCGGATTGTTACTTTCCACCTCTGCCAATCACTGGCCACGCCCCCCCCCACAACGTTCA